TTTGCCGTGGTTTTCTCAAACTTAGTACTCATTCCAAAATCCATTACGAATATAATATTTCTGTAAAGGCTCCTGCAAAAATAAGACTTTGGTTCTTGTTGACCACAATAATCGAACAAGCAGTCTAATCTTAGTTAGTTGCATTTAAAAATCTGTTGTGGTAAATCTGTTTTTTCCTAAAGTTTACTACTTAAGCTTACTTTCCAATCACGAAATTATCCGGCTTAACGTCTCGATGAATATAACCTAATTCGTGGAGATTTTTCAACGCGTTGTGCGTTTGAAGCGAGATTTGAATGGCAGTATGTGGTCTGAAATAGAAACATCATCCACAGCACATCGAGCACATCGAACATTCCATAGCACCACTACAGAACTTACGCAAACTCTCCTCTGACAATACTCTCCTTGATGTAGTCTAACGATTTACCGGTGTAGGGCATCATTATATACTTAAAATACTGGTTCCAACCCTAAACGCACAACTGACCAAGTTAGGCTGCAAATTTTTTATGAACAATTCCAAAGCAGGTTGCAGAACATCACTTTGTGAATGTAGCATTCTTCAAAAGACATGATATGCGTTTACAAAAAGATGTGTCGCTTGAATTTCGACAAATTTGGTTGCCATTTTATCTTGTTTGCTATTTTCTAGCCTTTTAAAGTCAGGAAGCGATTTCTACTAAAACTTGTCCTATGGATCTCTTCACTCATAACTTCCGCGATAAAATTGCGACGCGTCAACTATTTGCAAAGTGAATTTAATACGTTGGCGGCGCGGCGAAGATGCTAATGAGGCGTGGAGAGGAGCGATCAACAGTCGCAACTGTTGAAACAAATGCTGTGACTGGCATATGCTATGAGTGGAATCAAGATTGGAGTACTCAAAACTGGTAGTCTCCTCCAGACCTCTTTTGCGACCTTGCCTGTGATGTGACAAATTATGCGATGGAGTTTTGCGCCATCTATCCCACGTTCAGCTTGTGCGGAGAAATAAAACCAGTTTTTATCAAAAGTAATAGTAGCCGAAATCTTCGTTTTGAATATACCTTTTGTTTTCTTGCTATGCTCAGGCTGAGTCACTGCTTACCTTGTCAACCATATGTAAAATATGCGCTGTTGATCGCGGATTTTCCCTTTTTGCCACATTAATAACTTCATATACCAAAACTTCCCTCTGAAATTCCAATGACTAAACAATCAAGATAGCATCAGAATATGTAAAAGTTGTCTAAAAATTTTGCTTTTCATGTCGTTGAATTTAATTATGCATGACAGTGGTCGTACTTGTTTGATTACTAAAAACTTTTTTTTGTAGAAGTTCTTCAATTTTTGACAATTCAAGACTATCAAGTGTTAGCGTCAAAGATATCGTATCTCATTTTTTGAACTTACCTTCAAACGCTGCAGCATATCTTCTTCAACATCGAATTCAGTTTTCATTGCTAACACGCCGTTATCACGCTCTCTGTGCACTTCATATACATCTCCAAAACCGCCTGCTCCAAGTTTCTTTATAATTATATACCTAAGAAGAAACTCTGATGTGCAAGCTAGATATGCCTTTTACTCTTGATTCTGAGTAGGAGTAGACGTAAAACCTCTCTCCTGCAGAGATTACTTTAGATGCTCCAATTATTTTTTTCAAATGGATTGGGATAGGAGGCTATCTAATTAACTGGATCCCTGTTAGCTTTTCGTCAGTTATTATAACCCCTTGATATGGTAATCTGGCTGGAGTATCAACTCAGTCTTTAAAGAAAGATGATGTGACCTTCTGTGAAAACTATGTCCAAGAGCGAGAAAGCATTAAATTTTACTTAAATTACTTGAAATCGAGAAGACATCGGACCCTTGATATTGCGCACTAATCCTTTGTGCTTGGAAAACACAGGGTTCCGGAGACCGTCTATCGTCATTCACCTCAAGGCTTCAATACCCAAAAACGCAGGGATCTTCGCCAAAAAGTACCGTCATTCTGAAATCTTCGTCTTTTAATCTTCTTTAACAGCTTTTATCCGCTGCCCAATCTTCTGCGAAAACTTTATCATCTATAGAGAGAACATTGCCTGACATTGGATGTGCGACATGCTGATAACGATCACGTCCTGATAGGAGGTGGCAGCATTTTAGTAGTAGCGTCCTTTCAGCATTAACCAATTAAGAGGTCCGTGCTAAAGGATGGAGAGAAGTTGTATGCTTTTGCTTAGCGCTGCAACTCAGCACAGCGGACCATAAAAAGGAAGGTGGTTTCAGTTTGACGTTTCTCTAGTGTGCCCTTCGAGAGTGGTTCAATTATGTTGCATTTCTACTACCGACACAAATGATTCAGCGAGTTTATTTGGAGAAGCTGGAAACTGGTTCGGTGACGTTTTCAAACTATTACCACTGAATAGTAGTACCCACGCAAACTTTCAACTTCGTTTTTCGAACTTGGTGTGCTGCATGACTGTAACCTTTAGTCGTATACTTACTTAGATACTTAGATAGTCTATCTTCAATCGTCGTGCAGGCCGCAACATTGTTTGTTTCTGTCGCGTCATCCACGTTGTTGGTATTGAACAGCGGCGGTGACGTACCAGCTGAG